AAAAAATTGAAAACAGATCTTAATAATCTAACCTGACAAATGCAAGCAATGACTAAAAAATTAATGGCTATTCTTACTTTGCCTATAAAAGCTATCTCAACTAGATCCTGCTCTTCACATCATAATAATAATAATAATTATAATAATAGTAATTATGATTCATCTCAGTTAGAATGCTATAAATATAGCAAGCCTGGCCATATCTCTTGCTATTGTATATCAGAGAGAACCTAAAATCAAAATCAAAATTAGCTTCAACCTGCCCAAAATAACCCAACCAACCAGCCTACCCATATTCTACCTAGACCCGGCAATGTTAATTTTTGCAAAATTAAAATAGATAAAGGCTATGAGCCTGAAGTTGAGAAAGAAAAAGCTTTTGAAACTCCTGTGGCTTATCAACAACCATATTTCACCCAAAGACCAAAAGAACAATATTCTAAATAATTGGAGGATAAAGCAGAAGAAAGATATAGATTTATCCTACCTGACCAGAAGCTCCAGTCTTATCTCTAGTAAATGTGAACTCTTCATAACTAGTACTACAAGCTCAGGTAGCTTTCTCAGTAAATGTGAACTTATCATAGCCAGAACTTGAAGCACTAGTAGTTTTTCTTGCAAAACCTCGATGAAAGAGGTCCTTTTTGTAATCGATCAATTAAAATCATATGATGTAGCTAAAGACATTATGAGTTTAAGGGCTAATGAAACTATAGAACAAATGCTATTGTATCCAAATCAAAAACAGAAGTTGGCCAAGGTGTTTAGGAGGCTATTACTTCTATTAGAACTGTTAATTATATCTTTAAGACTATACAAACTAATGTTACTCAGAATCAAATAAATAGAAGAACTACCACTGCTCACTAATATATAAGGATAAAGAATAATCCTGTAATCACCATTTTAGACTCTGGTGCAGCTGTGAGTATCTTATTTAATAAAATGATGAAAAAACTACAATTTAGGATACTGAATCTTCCAATATTATGGTAGTAAATACGAATAGAACTTGAGTAAAAATATTAGGAAAAATCATCAATATTAAATTAGTATTGGGCAGAATTATAATCTCAACTAAATTCCAAGTTATTGAATCTTCTTGAAATAGATTAGTTCAAATGAATCTGTGCTTGTTTGCATGTGAATAAAAGTAAGTTGTATATGCAATATCAGAACCAAGTCACTAAGATTCTGATATCATATGATGAAAATTATCTTCTCTTTGAAGTTGAAGAGAATGAAGATAATAGGATGTTCAATAAATTCAAATATAAGGATGAAGTGTTAGATAAAGCTGAAGATTTCTATACCAGTAAAGTATCAAATAGTGATCTTTTTGATAATCTATGGGTGAACTATTATAGCCTTCTGTATGCTTGTTGCATATAGAAGAGCTACTACTAAACGA